GCCTTTTTCCTGCTCTGTGATTGAGCAGTTCCAAAGAATATTGGCAATATCTATCAAATTATTAATATTAAACATTAAAAATACCTGATTCTCACACAGTGTATAAATCTGAATATTGAACAGATGAGGCATACCTATTTATTCAAGTTCTGAGTTTCCTTTGCTTTGAAGTTGTTTGAAAATCAAAGGAAGAATTATTTGGTTTTAAAAATTTTTTTATTTCAACCTTCTTTTTCCATAGTACTTTTAAGAACTGAAACTTATATAAATGCTAATGATATGACTAGAACTTTCATGGACCTATTGTATATGCCCTATTTTACTTAATGTAAGGCAGCACTGATTTTGTGATGTCCCATTATTTTGTTTATCAGTGAGATAATTTTTCAGTGCTGCCCATTATAGTTGAAATAAATCATGAATAAAAGGTGCCATTCCACTATCAGTGATGTTAAAATGTGGGAAAATGAGCACCCCAGCATCATTGAAATACAATGTTATCTCTAGTCTTTAAAATAAACCACAAAGTAGGTATAATTGTATTATTTTGCTTAATTAAAATGTTGTCTTTGTGAAGCAGTAGTAATAATTACATTATGTAACAATCATTGAGCTATTATTTGCATTAGGAACTGTTCCACATACTTTTTACAGATTCTCATTTGAGCATCGCAGTGATGTCCTATGAGATAGCTACTATGTTTTTGTTTTTTTTTTTTTTGCCTATTTTATTGAAGAGGAAATTGAGGCACAGAAGGACTAAGTGATAGCTAATAATTGATAGAGCTTAAAGTAGGATGCAAACCCAAGTTGAACTGACTCCAAAAGCCAAGCTCTTTCTGTTGAAACAGGCTGCTCTTTTATTAATCTAATGAGGAATAACAGCTAATAAATATTATACTTTCTTCACAAGAAAATTAAATATTTGTTTTGAAGGTAGAGGAACACAGGCTGTTTAATATTTATAATTACATGAATCATTGTATATTTTAAGATAGTGCACTACAATTTCCTAAAATTCTCTCTCACTTTCATAGGACTGCTCTCCATTTGGCCT